GCCTGTGGGAAGGACTCATGTTGGAGAAGTCCATGGAGGACTGTCTCCTGTGGGAGTGACCCCACACTGGAGCAGGGGCAGAATGTGAGGAGTCCTCCCCCTGAGAAGGAAGGAGTGGCAGAAACAACATGTGATGAACTGACCACAACCCCCATTCCCTGCGCTGCTGTGAGGGGAGAAGGTAGAGAAAATTGAAAGTGCAGTTAAGCCCAGGAAGAAGGGAAGGGGGGGGGGGGGGGGGTTTTAAGAATTGGTTTTTTTTTTATTTACTTTAATTTGTTTTTGCTTTCTCATTACCTTAATCTGATTTTGATTGGTAATAAATTAAACTAATTTCCCCAAGTCGAGTCTGTTTTGCCCATGATAGTAACTGCTGAGTGAGCTCTCCCTGCCCTTATCTCAACCCATGAGCCTTTTGTTATATTTTCTCTCCCTGTGCCCAGCTGAGGAGGGGAGTGATAGAGCTGCTTTGGTGGGCACCTGGTGCCCAGCCGAGGTCAACCCACCACAAGTAGTCTGCATTAGGAGGTTGCTCCATGATTGTCTATTGTAGGATTTTTAATATTATCTCTCGTATTGCAGAAGATTTTGTTACCTTATATTTGGTTCTGTCCATCTATTATCAAACGGTTCTTATACAATAGTGAAGAAGTATCAAACAGAAACGTAAGCTAAGAAAGATGCTTTTAGGGCTGGGCTAATGGCTTAAGGCTTAGTTGCAAGAGGGTGTGCTTGAGTTCCTGTCCATGCTCCATGAGTTGCCTGCGTGTTCCCTTCAGTTACTGCTTTGTGCAAAACCAGTTCTGCTCTGGGCCCGAGGTTTATAACACAGACCTCTAACCTCACAGCCGTGTTATCAAACTACTGCACAAAAACCAGTATCATACTGACTTTTTTTTCCTATTTCTTTTTCTTAAACAACATTTGAATTCTTTGCTGTACAAAGATTCCACTTCAACAAGAAAGTCAGGGAGTGCTGTCACGCAGAATAACCTATGGCATCATCCTTAAAACACTGTACTATTCTTGCTGCAAGACTACAAGTTATATGCTGACTTCACCACCAGAGGAGCAGTTTATGAATGAGAATATGGACGAATGTAATTGGATCTTAGCTTTATAAGTATCAAACTGCTGTTCTGATCTGTAAACATCTGGAAAAGGCCACTGCCAAAAGCAATAATTTGCCTTTTGGGTCAGGCAAGTTATTGGTATTAGCCTGCTGTGTTATTTGTGGTCCAGTAAAGAGAGCAAATTTATCAATTTATTTTTTTCAGATGGTGCTATTTTTAAGACAGCTATTGATGTGTTCATCTTTCCATTAAATAAACTTACCTTAGTAATTTACAAATAGGTTTTTAATTTGAAAATGTATGCCTAAACTGAGCATACTTGAACTGTTTAATAAGCCCAGTTCTCTCCCTTCTCATGAGAAATTTCTCGTATGTTAGTTATAACTGCATTAGCCTATGACATTATAATTTGCCCATGAGAACAGAGAAAGAATTGCTTCGATTTCATACGCAAATAAAAGAATAAATACAGAGAATCATTTTGAAATTTGGATTTTAACAGTTCCTTTACAATAGATGTCATTAAAATGCTAAAGCTAGAAAAAAATCTGGGAAGTGCTGCCTTCAGAAAGATGAAAATGGAATTAGTATGCTTATACTTGTTCTCTAAATACTCCAGGCACCCTGAATTAGCTGTTAACAACTGTTGAGGCTACCTGTTCTTTGCAAGTATATATTCCTAGAAGAAGCCTCAGAAAAGAACTGAAAGTATTTTTTTTAAACAGGAAGTTATTCTGCATTTGTGAAATTGGTGGTTTAATTCTACTGTTTTCATTCAACAGAGGGTTTAGCTGAGTCCTAATTTAAGATTATATGGTATTGAAACTTGGTAGGCATATTCACGGAACAAAATGGTGGAAGAAATAACCCATGCGGAGAACTCAGGAAGAGCCTGAAAATTTATCAGAGGTAGATGCATAAAAATAGAGGGTATGTGCTTTCCACATGCATTGAATTCACTTTTTGTAAACATCAGAAAGAGACTGAATTGTCTGGGTGGGGCTTTGCACCGCAGTCTCTGCTGGATCAGCCAAAAAGCAGAGTAACTGGTGTGTAGTACTTACTAGTAGAAGTCCTGTGGCCACCAGAAAATTATTTGAAAAGTAGCAAAGATTAAGGAAGAGAGAAGAGGCTCTTGAAGAGGATTCTTAGCTCTCTGCTGGGTCCATTGATAAAATCCCTATGAAGTCTACTCTATGTCAAACTCCTTGATGATCTCAGTCAAGCGATTCTCTGGTGTCTTGTGAAAGCTCAGCATGAGATAAAGGTTCCTGGAGACTTCTAGGCAAGTGTTGAGGGAGCAGGCTGCCACTGCTGGTGTATTGGCCAGAGAGGTAAAAGTTTACTGTCTTGAATATCAAAAGGAATTCATCAGACAAAACCTTGGAAGCTCCAGCTGAAAAAGCTGTCCAGGCAGTGCTTTTGAACAGAACTGATGAAAGCCTTTTCAAGAATGTCTTCTAGATTACTGTATAAAAAATAAAATGTCCTGATGTGTTTCAAATGAGATTTGAAGGGATTATTAACAATATAGCTTCTCATCCATTTTGGAAAAGAGCAAGAAAATTCCCTTCATGTTATTTCTTAAACTATTAATTACTGATTAAATTAGAGAGCTATCTATCTTTGTAGAGACAATTTCTGATGTAAATGCAGTTCCATAGAGCTTTTGTTAAAGAAGTTAACAGAGAAGGCTCCAGAGTACAGGAGTATATTGCTATGAAGCAAATAAATTTTATTTTTTTTAAATTTGTTCCACCCTTTTCTTCACTTTATTTCATTTACATTGACACTGTGGCATCTTGGAGCTCTGGATGGTCATTATTTGCCATAAAAACCTAGGCTACCACAAGGGAACATAGATAAATCACAATCTGAGTTGAAAATTTTCTCTGTTTCAGCTAAATTTAAAAATGGGCAATATATATTTTCAGATTTTTAATGTATATATAAAATTGTATACTAGCTGCTTTATATCTCTTCTATTGTATGTTACAATGAGCTTTTCTTTTTCAGAAGTTAATTTTTCTACAAGTAAGAGATTTTTCTTTGTTATTCTTAAATGAGCAATGAGATGGAAATCACTGTATGTGCAAACAATGTTAAGGAGAAAGGTAGTAATTTCTTTTCTTGAATTTTACACTTATTTTGCGTACTTTTTAATATTCTGTATGTACGGACTATCAAGAATATGGAATACTTGTTCCATTTGTGTATGATGAGGTTAGTTTCTGAACATCAGGTATGCCAAAGAACGAATCTGACATCATTTAAGATGTAAAGTCAAATTCAAGTTCTGCAACTCTGAAGTTCACAATCAGTCATCTTCTAATGATTATGATAATTAATTCACATATTAAATCACAGCAAGGATGATATAATTTCATTTTACAGAAAAAGAAGTCCTCAGTGAGCGAGTTAGCCGCATGCTGTTTGAATTATGCTCCATATGAATAAAGTTGTCATTGGTTTATTGGTGGGGTTTTTTGTTTTTTCTTTCTCCAAAGAGATCACTATGGCTGCTACAGTGAACTTGGAGCTTGATCCCATTTTTTTGAAAGCCTTGGGCTTCTTGCATTCGAAGAGTAAGGACTCTGCTGAAAAGCTGAAGGCCCTTCTTGATGAGTCTTTGGCCAGAGGAACTGACTCAAGCTATCGTCCCTCTCAGAAGGTATTGGTATTAGAGAGCATGGGTCATTTCTATATGCCTTTATAAAGCTCCTGCTATTCCTGGTCCGTCTTTTATAGCTGAAAAGTTAAAAGAGAATCAGAAATTGAGGAAAAATAAGTAATTATGGAATGTTCATATTTATCATTCCCCTTTTATGCAGCAAAATCTGTTCAATTAATTGAAGTTAATGAAAAAAATGTCTATCTTGTTGGTGTACAAAGATCTTTAAAAGAGATATTCAACACTATATTGCAAGTGCTGTGACTTTGTAATAGTACTTTCTGTATTCACTTTTATTGGTTTTAGCATTTTTGTTAGTAAGCTATTATACATGGTATCGAAGATGAACCCAAAATTATGGATTTCTCCAGTTACGATCAGAGCTAAAAGGTCTTTAAAATGCAGATTATTTTTGCCACAGATAAATATGAAACAAAAGAAGGTATTTACTGAGAATGCTGGATCTCTTTTCTTGAAATTTTGTTGATGAAGTCATATGAGAATGAAAAACACCAAATGGTTCAAAGCAGAAAATGATTTACGGGCTGAAATCATTGCCATCCAATGGACAAACATTATTTTTCATCTACTGAATATCACTGAACACCTGCTAGAGAGAATATTTGAATCTGAGATTAGTGTATGGAAATAACCAAGTGGAGACATCCTCATATTGCTACATATTGCCATATGGATAATGAGGTAGTGTTCTCCCCTAGGATGCCTAGAAGTCGGTCTGGTATGTTCTAATGGTGATCTGTAAGCTGATACATTAGTAATATTTCATTTCCACATGTACGTGCTTCCGAATAACTAAAAGGCACTCTTACTGCTACAGCGTACGTGATGCTTGCACTGTGTGGTCTAACTGCTTTCTATTCAGATTGACTCCCTGAAACCTAAACTGCAGTTCCCTCCAACACAGGTCTCAAAACTTTTAGGAGCCCTCTATGTCAGAGCTCAAAGAAGCACTGGTTTGTAATTTAAAGAGGAAGCAGGGAGCCAAATAATAGTGCTAAGAGGCTTGGGAAACCAATTATAGTAACAGCAACCAATTATAGTAACAGCTTGGCTTGTAGTCACCTGCCCTCAGGTGAGACTGAGGTTCAAGCCAGAGGAAAAAATCTTTAGTTCTCTTTTTCAGTGCGTTTCCAGTACCAGCTGGACTGCAAAAGTTAGAAATTGAAAAAAGTACAAGAATTCCTTTCCTTGCATTCTCAGCTGCAGGATTAACTTGTGATTGACAACGAAATCTAGGAACAGAGTAAGGAGCACAGGATTACCACAGTCGGGCAGATGAGGAAATCCATTTCTGACTCTGAATGCAGCAGGAAGTCAGCGAACTTCAGGGACTGAAGCTCAGGGCTCAGGACCCATCCTGGTATAGAGCACAGAATTACTCCCTTCTTACCAAGCTGGGGGGGTGCCTTGCTTGTGCACATGGCTGTGATGAATCACTCATTTACAGACACCCTTGCTTATTATCCATTGCTGACGCGCATGCATCATTAATAAGAGCTATTGAGATCTAAATTTGTTAATCTGATAGGTGAATACGGACCAAGATTAAGCAGAGGCCAATATTTTTCTTCATGAGGGAATGAAGTATTGATGTCTGGTGACATCAAATGTCAACTTATGTTTTCATCTTATATTGAATTTTGTCCTCTGAACTATCTGAAAATTTTTGTTCACTATGCCCTTGAATTTTAAAAGCAGAAAAGTTTTCCTTTTTAATTAATGTTCCAAAGAGGATCTGTCTTTGCAATAGGAGCATCTTTTCCTCTGGAAGGTGAGTGATAAGAGGAGGTTTTAATAATTGACTGCAGCTTAAACACGCTAATTTGTCGATGTGATATGAAAATACTTAGGAAATGTTAAAAAAAAAAAGTGTATATATAGGTGATCAATGCTGTATGACGTTGTTTGCCTAACCTGTTATCTAACTAATTGCAAACTAGGAAGTAACTCAAGTGTAGGGTTTGCTTTCATTTTTTGTTTCTGTTTTTAGGAAGTAGAGCAACCAAAAGTATCTGTGACCAAACCTATTTCCAGTAAGCAAGAGCCTAAAGCTTCTTCTAGTTTGCCTTCTGGCAACAATAATGGCAAGCCCACTACATCAGAAAAGGTGAAAAAAGAAACAGAGAAGAGATCTGCTGATAAAGTAAGTAATTTTTGTTCTCTAATGAAATAACTTGGTTCATAAACTTCAAGATGTTTTAGACAAAAGATCTCCTTTTTAACCTGTGTAAAACTCATTGGCATCGCCTGTGAGCTGCATTAGCTAATTATATTGCCATTTAGGCAATCCAGCCAAAGTCTTGTTATAATTCTGTGAATGTTTTCCCTGCTCACTGCAGAGGGGTTGGACTAGGTAACCTTTAAAGGTCCCTTCCAACCCAAACCATTTTATGTTTCTGTGTTTTAAATATCCTGATAATAAGAGGTTATTAAAATGTAGCAAGCTGAAATGTGGGATTCCCAAAGCTTTTTCAGGGATTTTGAGGTGAAGTACAAAAAGTGGGCTTGAGCTTCTAGTTCATAAATATTATGAAGACAATATGTATCTAAGCAAAATGTGTTGTGTGTATGCCGTGTAAAGTACACTTTCTTAACACTGCTAACCAAATTGTTCCAGTCATTTTCTCATTTTAATAATATCCATTAGCTTTTTGCATTTTCACATTCTTTGTGTGTGTGTGTGTGTGTGATAGATAAAAGGGGATACCGCTGAAGGAGCTGATACACCAAAGAAGCCCAGGATAGAGAAGCAAGAGGCTCGTTCCTCTCCTATTACGGTTCAGACGAGCAAGGATTTATCCATGCCTGATTTATCTAGCTTTGAGGAAACCAGTGCTGATGACTTTGCTATGGAGATGGGATTAGCCTGTGTTGTTTGCAGGTAAGTCAACATTGCTTCATTGCAATTGTATAGTTACTTTTTTTTTTCCCCGCTGTGTACTATGGAGTTAATGCTTCCTGTAGTTTTTATTCTGGAAATCACTTAAGCACATACCAAAAATTAATAATACATTTAAGCATCCGTGATGAATAAGAATGGTTTCTTGAAAATGGAACCTTTAATGAGAAAACAACTTTTCTTCAGGAAAGGGCAAGTGAAAAATAATAAAACTAGACAAAATGCAAAATGTATCATGACAAATACTGATTTTTAGTTATCAGAAAACAAGTTAAAATATTAATGGCTAATGATAAGTATTTTTAAAAAATCAGTTCTCTTCTGAAAACATTTTTAGTGGCATTATTATGAGATCTGTATGTGTTGCTCCTCTTTTCATAATCGTTTGATAGGAGTTTACACACAACGATGTTTTTTCAGTCAATGGTATAAATATATCTTGCAGTCGAGACAGGTTCTTTTCACTTTTCATTAGGAGCTCAAAAATTGGATCTTAGTACTGTTCTGCTAACAATACATCTAGTGTTAATAGAAGTATAAAATATGCTTTTAAGTATCCACCCTGGGATCAAATCACTCAAATCAGGATTTGGTTTCACAGATGATTTATGTCCTTGTACGTTCCCGCTGCTGCCAAGGAGTCTGGCACTCCTAATTGTACCTTTTTCCCTGTCCTGTTTAGGGAATCTATTGCCCGCACAGGCTTGTGGTCTGCTGTATCAGCTTCTGGATCAGCTCTCCACTTGGGTTTTTCAGCAGGTTTAGGTTTCAGCTAACTTAGCTTAGTGAGTGTAAATGCTTATGCTGGAACATGTGTGGGTACAGGAATGTAAAGCCAGGACGGAGAGGAAGGTGGGACTGGCCTTTTGGTAGCAGTATGTATTTTATCTCAGTTTAAGTCAGTTGGGAAACTGTGCTTTATAATTTTGTTCTTCAGTCATTTCCATGGGCACTCCCGTTGTGCAGATAAGGAGCTATCTTCAGTCCATGGAGGATAAATTTCCATTGTTACAGCTAATTATGCTGTTAACTAATTGTGGACTGATGAGATTTCATGTCACGTTATTCCCGAGTGTTAGCTCAAATGTTTAACTTCTTATTATAGACATTGAAAAAGCAAGAACAGTTAAAAGAGTTGAAGTATGAAATAAATATTTCAATTTTACCTCCCTTCCTGCAAATTCCATTTTTTGCTGTCTCCTAAAGGGGCAAAGCCCTGTTCAGCAGTATGTTAAAATGCTACTAAAAACAGTATGGTATTAACTTATTTGGCAGGAGGATATAAAGAAAAGTTTTGTTTAGACAATCTTGAGCTGCTGTGGATTATTAATTCTGCATCTTCCCTGGCAAAGGAAAACACGTACAGGCATAATGAGAAATGCCTGCAAAGTGAAGAAAGTAAAGAAAGAAAATGCAACTACTGTGCCTAGCGTGGCCAAGACTTTGCTTTGAAAAGCATAGGCCAGGTATGTGGTTCCATTGGCTGTTCCACAATCGACGTTTAACCTGGCTGCTAAAGGTGTTGCTTCTCCCTAATCATGGTCACAAACTCATAGTGCTCTTGCAAAAGATGCATGTATCCTGGCTAACTAAAATAGCCCTCAACGGAACTGGCTGGAACTGATTCAGGTGGTTCTCGATCTCCAGCTCATGCTGGACAGGATGCTTTTCAGAGTGCTCGTGCTTCAGACTTTCTGAATCTCTCACATTGATTAGGTGGCATTCCACTATTTACTCGTCAGCTTTCAACATGTGGGCCCTTTTTGGGGTTGGCCATCTTGGGCCGAAATAGTAACATCCCAGTACATGTGAAATATAAAAGCACTGAATACCCTGTAAAATAACTCAAGTATGAATAGTATTAAGAAAATTACATCTTTTACTAACTCAATCGATTATTCAATCACTTGTGAATGAAAGCATCATGTCCAGTTGCAGAGTAGGTGGGGTTCATAACCAAAGGGTTTATATTTATATTGCTTCAGAAGACAAGTTAACAAGAACCCAGCTGTGGGTTCACAAAGGCAAAAGAGTACATTTGAATATTAGCTATTCCTTTTTTATAGATGTAAAAAATAAACTAGAGACGATAAATATTTCTTCAAGATTTGCTAAGTGTCAAATGTATTTTCATAGTGATTAGGAGTATTGAACACTGATGCCTGTGGTGTTTTTCTTATTGTTCTTTTATACCAAGTTAGGCAAAAGGAGAGAGGGAGTATTAAAATAACTTCACCCTCTCCAATACCTGCAGATCTGAGAAAAATAAGACTCATTAGTTACATGGCTCCTCACTTATATGAGGAAATACTACATGCAGTTTGCAAATGATAGTGAACTCTATCTCTCAAAAAAACCCCAAAAATATGTCTTTAAAAAAAGCCTGGTTTTGAAAGAACAACCTCATTTCTTATGAATACTTTTTTGTTTGTTTTCTGAAGGTAAAAAATAATTATGTTTGTTTCTTCGTTATCATGTCATTTAAAAATAACTCTGGCTTAACTTGTTTCTGGGCCTGAAGAGTTCATGTGTTGTTTTTTTAATCAGCCTGGGATTGTTCTTTGTAATTTTAAAATAAGGTGAGTCTCCTCCCTTGAGACACGGGGTTGAAATATCACTGCTTTGTTCTGACCCAGTTTATTTAGGAATAACAAGCAAACAGAATGGCTTTTGAAATATCCTGCATCTAAAATAATGGGCCCTGGAATTTCAGAAGGGTTTTTCCCTCTGTTTTTAAATAGCCTGTTTAAGAGAAATATTTCTTAGAAAATGTTCTAGTATCCGTATGGACAATACCTTCAGACTTCATTTTCCTGTTATATAAAGAAATAAGGTATTACCTTTCCTCACCCATCTACAAATAGAGTTTCCATGGTTACCTGGGTACCTGCTCCTTGGGGATATGAGCAAAAGCAGCTTAGCAATTAAATAGCCTGATTTGTCATCTGAAAGAAGAAATCATTAGGAAAATGGTATTTGGCTAATTCACAGACATACTCCCAGTCATGTGTATATCACTAATTTGTCATTTATACAGCATGATTACTTTCACCAGAGGCCCACGCAAAATTAAGTCCTCATCACCAGCTTACATGTTTGCTTCAAGGCAGGACTGCACAGCTAATCCTTTCTATTCTATCTTTCTGTGATTCTGGTATTACAGTTCCAAGAGTCTGTCTGTGTAGTAGGGACCAAAAGGATGGCTAATAAAACATCTTTAAAGTAGTATACGGCTTGGATGATGATGCTTTTAAATCCTGTAGCAGAAAGCACTCTTACAGGCTTGTCACTGGGAAATTTTTTGTTCTTGGACTATATTGCTCTACAGCTTACAGCAAAATTATCCAAATGTAGACTAGGCCTTCATATGCTAATATAATGAGGAAGTCATAACTGGTATACAGTAAGGTATCGATAAAATGCCCAGGTGAAGCCAAGCAGGTGAGACTTACATTTCTAATATAAAAATGAAACAGTGAAATCAAAAGTGTTATATACACATGTTTAATAATATGGAAGTTTTAGATTTGCTTGAAAGAAGTTACCTTTAAAAAATACAGAATTTCTAAAATATTTGTTAGGAAGAACTCATACAGGAAGAAAAGGAATACATTTCATTTGCCACAGGTAGAAAATATATGTGAAAGCAAAAATATTTTTAGTTTTTATCTTAAGCCTTGCAAAATTTGCAACAATTGGATAATCCTTTAAGTGCTTTCTCCCATAATCTGTTCTTAACTATTTGCTCTGCAGGCAAATGACAGTTATTTCTGGGAATCAGCTAGTGGAGTGTCAGGAGTGCCATAATCTCTACCACCAGGATTGCCATAAACCTCAGGTGACAGACAAGGAAGTGAATGATCCTCGACTTGTATGGTATTGTGCCCGCTGTACCAGGCAGATGAAGAGAATGGTAGGAATAATTTTTTTTGTCTCGTATGAACACTGTGTGAATACAGCAGGCTATTTCTAATATGTGAGGGTATTTTATGGGTTGCAGAAATCTTTGGAAGCACATTGGATAACTGTTTTTCAGCAGTCTTTTCCTTACTGCAGCTGTGGATTTTTTTAATGTAGCATCGCAAACAGTATCCTGTAACGCACTTCTTAAACAAAGCTTTTTAAAAAACAGAAGTTGAGTGAGGAAGAGTGAAATAGGATTATTTCCTACTTCGTAAGCAGCAGTTGAAAACTTTTATTATTTCAGGTAATACTCAGTTTTTAGTACATGTCTACCAAATAGCCCTACAGTTTTAGTTTTCTTCTTTTCTTTGGACATGACTGGTTGTTTTTCTGTAAGACAAGACTGCAAGTTTCAGTCCAGATCTTAAGTGTTAAGTGTTCTCATGCTCAACAATAAGCTGAGGGTAGCACATTCCAGGGAAAAAAATCTCTTTATTTTGATTGATCTGAATGATTATTTCTTGACTAAACAGACACAGATCCCACAGTAATCCCACTCGTCTTTTTATGAGAAACAAACATGAGAGTAAGAAAGCATCTTTGAGTGCATGAAACATTAACCATTAGTTCCTACGACTTTAGTTATAACATTTTAAAATCAAACCCTTTTATACAGCAGAAAAAATGTGTTCTGTTTTGGAACTGTTTTATGACAACTTAGCAAATTGTTATCTATTGAAATGGGTCTACTAAGAAGCAAGAAAAGAAGGCAATGTAAGATCCTGTAAGATCATGCAACGCTACAGGCTTGGGGAGGAGTG